ACGAGTTGATGGGTGCAGCACACCAACATGGCACAAGTATACATATGTAACAAACCTGCACGTTATGCACATGTACCCTACAACTTAAAGTATAATAATAATAAATTAAAAAAAAAAAAAAAGAAAGAATGAGTTCATATTAAGTCCCACTCCCCTTCCATATAATAGCATTTCTCAAGCAAAATCAGCATTAACAGAACCCAAAATCAGCATTTACAGAATAATATGGCTGATTTTTTTCATGTTTGTTTACATACTAGTTAAATCCATCTTTTATGAACTATTTGAGGTATTGCCCATGTATTTACTAGAATGCTTATGTTCCATCTATTATATATGCTCTATAATATTAGTTACTGTTTATTGAGTGTTTTTCTATGTGCCTGTGTTCTTAATAACTGTATAATGCTAAATATAATTCTAGCTACAGCTAAAATTCTATGTAGCTATACATTAATAATACAGAATTATATTAATACTAGAATATATATCATACATAGGTAATAGTCAAAGTTAATAGTCTCTCATTTCTTGAGAGTTACTTTATGTCTCATAACAATATTGCAAGGTAGGTATTATTACTGCTTTTGTTGCATTGATGAGGAAATTGAGGGTCAGAGAGGTTCAGTAACTTGACCAAGGTCACACAGCTGGTAACTAGCAGTTTAAGTCCAGCACTAATGCTCTTGTTTACCAGTAACAGCTATGCTATACATTTTCCTTGGTATATGAAGAGTCTTGTATTATGTGTTTAAATATACAGTTCTAGAGCTGGGTGGGGTTTTGGTAGATGTTTTAGTGGTGGAACCTAAAAATTATCCTTAGGCCTATTAAGCCTAGTACAATACTTGCTGATTTATTAGGAAAGAATTTTTGAGGCACTTTATTCTTAGCGACAGTATATCTATCTACAATCACCACTTCACTTTTAAAATGGAATCGTATTAGTAGCCTTGATTTTTAGCTAGTTATTATTGGCCTTTAGGTGGTGTTAATTAATATAATATTTATTTTACTAGGGAGATGAATGGTAATTATTGCTGCTTAAAAACATGGATATACTCCTTTTTTGTGTTCTTGAATTTAAGGAATTTTAAAGATTTTGTTTTGGTAAGCATTCAGATTACACTTGCAGAATGTTCTTCATTAGCTTGGTCTTCCTTACTAAGTGTAGCATTTCAGCTTTTTTAAACTTTTATTTTAGGTTCAGGGGTATGTGTGCAGGTTTGTTATAGAGGTAAACATGTGTCACAAGAGTTTGCTGTACTGATTATTTCATCACCCAGGTATTAAACCTAGTAGCCAATAGTTCTTTTTTCTGCTCTTCCCCCTCCTCCTACCCTCTACGCTCAAGTAGGTGCATTTCAGTTTTGCCTGAGGTGTTAGATACTCGATTCTTACCTTGGTTGAGAAATGTGTTTGGATAGGTTGTTTTTTTTTAATGTGTTTTGGTTGGTGAAATAAATAATAGCTTATCTTCAGAGTTTTCCTTAGGATCTTCATTATGTCCTCTTGGAATATTTATGTTACATATTAAACTGTTTATGTTCTGAAGACATCAGATTAGTGAGGAAAACTGATTTTTAAAAATGTTATTTCTTCATATCTCTTCTGAGAGGGACACTAAATAGATGTTTTACTAATACCGGTCCAGAAAAAAAAAAAAAAAGAATTCTGATGAGCAGAAGATCATGCAAAATTCTCCTCTATAAGCTATCAATATCATTTAAAAAATAGTTTTAACTATTTTTATGAAGCAGGAAGAAAGCTATTAAAAACTGCTAATAAAAACTAGGTGCTTATTTTTGTGCTAATCCTAATTACTGATAATGCATGCTTATGTTTGTCGCTCATTATATGGCACCGTACCAATCAGTGGATGACTGAGACTCAAGCACTCACACATGTAAATTCACCATTAGATTTTTTTTTTTTTTCCTTTTTTACTTAAGTGAGTCATAATGGAAAGCAACTCTAGGTTATAAAAAAATCTTTTCTCTTTAATGCTAATGAAATGTCTCCACTCTCTGTATTAGCAGACTACCCTTATTGGTAATCTGTAGCCTTCTCTTTTGTTCGTGGTGGTAATGAAATGCTGGGTACTGAAAAAGCCAGCTCTCCAAGAATGTGTGGCCAATTGTCTTCTGTTCACTTATACTGTAAAATTACTGTTCCCCGGCAAGGCTGAACAAGTGCGGGGACAAGATCAAAAGAGTATACACTGGCACCCAGCTACACCAAGTGACTCCTGCTTTATTAATTAGTCATAGCTTCTCCAAGCTAATTTGCTCTGATAGGGCAAAAACGTTCTGAAATATAAAAACAGCAAATTATAACTCAACCACAAGCCTTTACTGTTGGCTTTCTTCAACTTTCAGTTTAAACCTTTGCATTGTGTCATAAGCTAAATGTTCTTTCAGTTTTCTAAACCTTAGGGCACAAAAGCTATTTTACATTTTTTTCAAAGACATTAATGATATAGTCAAATGACCATTTTTATTCTCTAAAATCGGGCAACCTTTCATTGATATTGTTCTTTTAAAAAGTCAGTGTATTGGCAATGTAATTTAAAAGTGCAGTTACTATTAAAATGTGCAAGCTCGTTCTGTCCTCTCATCAGAAATGCCACTGGTGTTCAAGCATTTGAAAAGGACTTTCTCTGTCAGTGTTTTTGCGGAAGCCAAATTTGACAGTGATCCTAAACTCTAAATTAAATAATATCAGCACCACTTTCCTTTTCATTTAATCACCATTTTGAAGTTCCCGAAGTCTTTTTAATGTAAGGAATCTTTAGCAGTTTTTTAGTTATAACTTGAGACAGCAAAAATAAATAAATAAAAAATAAAAAATAAAAAAATACGTCCTTATTTCATGGTTTTGTTTTCAGGTGGGAAAGAAATAATTAAAACTTTGAGTAAGATATTAGCTGTAAAAAGAAAAGTGATTTAGACTTGTGCAACCCAGGTTATTGTTAATTGCATGATAACCATTCAGTTTGTAACTTTTAGGATTTTGATTTAATTGAAAGAATTCACCAATTTTTATGTCCTCTAATGGGGTTTAAAAATAACAATGTACTATATCTTGTGGATATATGTAAAGCAAGTTGTACTGAGATTATTCGAAATGTGCTATCAAAGAAAGATGAAGACATTTTTACACTGGGAGTATCTAAAGCCCATGTTATTATGTACTTACAATGATTGATGTCAATCTTCGTTACAAATTTATTTTTGGAGTCAACTTCTTTCTCTCCTTAATTGTTGTCTTTCTTTGTGAATTTTAAAAGCCTTTAGAAAAAGTTATATCATTAAGCTTACTTCATAATTGTGAATTTAAAAAACAATTTTAGAAAAGACCAATAATTATATTTCTCTGTAACCTCACTTGGATGGAATAGTTTTATCTGTATTATGCATTTCTAGTATTGTCACAAGTTATTTTTTTAAGGGACTATATTAGCCATTCTTGAAAGGTGGTTTTGTTTTTTGTGTTTTTTTTTTGGTAGAAGGAATATTTGTGTTTGTGAAGGTTAGCAGAGGCTGGCTGTGCTGGAAGTGACTGCAGTGCCTTTTGATTATTCATGGACAGTAATAGAAGGCACTTAAAAAGAACAATGAAATTGCTTATTTTTGTGATGGGCCATCTGTTGAATTGTTTTGTGCAACAATTGCACAATAGTATCTATGTCATATCATTCTATTTTCAACAGCAGCTGATTATGTCTCACTGGCTACTTGTCCTTATTTCTAAAGTCCCATGACCATTTAAAGTCACCTTTCCAGGGACCTTTGCCAGAAAGGTATTAGAAATCTCAAACAGCCTGTGTATTTTATTATTATTATTTTTTTCATCTCTCTTTTTTGGGGGGGGTTGGGAAACGGGTGGAAAGTGGAGGAGGGTGTTGGTCATGTTAGTTCTAATTAATTAGACTTCCTAAATGTTTAGGACAATTATCTATGCTTTCCACCTGTAGTTCTATAAAAGAAGTTATCATAGAACCATTTGGTAATTTGTGTAGAAATGATAGGCTTGCAAAAAAGAAGAGTCAAGTTTAAAAGGCTGCTATACAGTGTTTCATGATTTTAATTATCTACTCTTTTCTTCATGATGATAATTAGAATTTTTCTCTTGGAATTTACTTCCATCTTAAAAAAAAGATGATCCATTAGCAAATTTGTTAGAGCAGAAGTGAAATTAAAATAAAACAAATATGTTGTTGTCAATAGGTCACTGACATTGCTGATGCCATGATTCTGAAACAGCTTTTTGAAAATCTGTTCAAAAACGGGGTCGTCGTTGTGGCAACATCCAACAGGCCACCGGAAGGTAAAAACAAACATTGTGCTAGTCTCATCCAATTAGGTGGAAACTAACAAGCTTTTAAAAATCCATAATTTTGTACTAAATTTATTGTGTTAGTAAATCTGATGACTTTGCTTATTACTAGTTTTATAACTGGCTTAATCTGAAAAATCAGTTGCTATTTGTATTTGAAAAGTTATATATTCTTAGCAAGCTAAATCCAGTTGATTCCCAGGTTTGGTGCACTTGCTGTTTTTTTGTGTTTTTTTCCCCTAAATATTAGATATGTCATATGTGCTTATAAAAAAAATGCAGGCCTTTTGGACTGCTTTTTATGGGCCATGAAAGAAACTCAACTAAATGAAAGACAAAACTCATAATTAAATTTTAGAAAAAGAACGAAAACTTCCTTGCATGAATAGTTTCTAATACTTCACTTAAATTATCATTTCTAAAAAAGCACTTGTGGCTTATTAAGAAAGTACTTACAAATTAAAATACAAGTAATATTTAGATTAAAAACAAGTTTAAAATCTTGCATCTTTCAGCCCATCATGTGCTCAGTTAAAGGTCTAAGAAACCACAAATATTTCCTGAGAGATTTAATGGGAACATCTTTCTGCCTGGAGTGCTGTTTCTCCAGATACCTGCATGGCTAAGCCCTCACCTCCTTTGTCTTTGCTCAGAAGTTACATTGCCAGTGAAGCCTAGACTTGTCTCCCTGAACCTGCAACACATCCCTTTCTTCTTGGTACTACTTCCCTTTACCCTGCTCTCTTTTTTACCCATAGCACTATGGATCTACCATATAATTTACTTATTTATTTATTTATTTATAGTTTATTATCTGTTCCCTTCCAGGATACAAAAGCTTCATGAGGGCAGTGATTTTTATCTCTTCTGTTCTCAAATGTGTTCTCAGCACCTATAACAGTGTCTTACACATAGATGGTTCTCAGTAAATAGTCTTAGAATGAACGCTGGATGATTGCATGTTTTAAAAAGATCTCTCTGGCTGCAGTATTGAGAATAGAGTGTGGGTATGGGGTTTCAGAGTTAGAAGTAAGGAGACCATTTAGGAGACTACGGCAGCAGTCCCAAGGGGAGGTAATGGAGGAGTAAAGTGATGAGAAGAGGGTAGGTTCTGATATACTGTATAGGCAGAGTCAGCAGGATTTACTGATGGAATGGATCTAGGGTATGACAAAAGAGAGAGGGATCAAGAGTAACTCAAAGGTTTTGGTCTGAGCAGTTGGAAGGATGAAGTTGCTGTTTACTGAGATGGGGAAGACTACAGAAAAAGCAGATTTGGGTAGGGAGGTGGAGGTAGGGGTTTCTGTGGTGACAAGGGGGATGCATATGAGAGTTTGGATTTCATTGGAAAAGTCTGGGCTGGAGATGTACATTTGGAAGTCATCAGTCTTAAAGGAGGCAGGAAAGAGCAGCTGGTGAGGTAGGAGGAGAACCAGGAGAGTGTCAAGCGAGGAAAAGAAAAGTAGTAACAAAAGGATTGATGAATACTTCTGTTAAATGCTGCTACAAGCTGAAATGAGGTTGAGAATTAACCATTGCAATTAGTAACATGGAATTCATTAGTGAGTCTGAAAAGAGTAATGTCATAGTGGGAACTTTTTTTTTAAAGTAAGCTGTGCCACATTGATGGCATATATTGAATTTAAAATTGCTAACAGACCAAGATCTTACTATGTAGCCTGCTGTGAAACTAGGTCTCTCTCATTCTATGTTTGTGTAGTGAATTTCTTTTTCTTCATATCACATTTCAACTTATTAGTCTATGTTGTTCCATTTTATTGATTTTTATTGAAGTATTTTTTATTTTTGTTTTTTGTTTTTATTTATTTTCGTTTTGCAAATGGAGTATGTTTGAAGTATTTTTGAAGTATGATTCTAACATAATTTTTTTTTGGCTATCCCTACTATGACATTTATACATTTGATAATCATATTTATATATCTTTAGCCATTCCTTAATTAAAATGTGTAAATCAGATAGGACTAAATTAAGTTACTTGTTGCATACCACTGGAGGCCTTGTCTTAGGAAGACATCAATTAACTAATCACCACTTTTTGGACCCAGTTATTCAAACAATTATAGTTATACCTCATCCATTGTACTACAAAAGAATTATGAGTGATTTTGCAGATGTACTTATTAAAATCCATATAATGTTATATACAGCATTCTTGTGATTAACTAGTGTTAGCAACCCTATGAGCCAAGGGAGTGAGCTTTTTAATATTAGATCTTCTATCTAGGTGGAAGTGAAGCTTGTCTCTACGACAGCTGACATGTTGATTTGACAGTGGCATCAGTATTACCTTTAGACATTCAGTGACAAACTATGCTCATAAATAGCAAAGAGCTAGAACAATTTTGGAAGCCCTGTAGCAAAGACTGCTGAAAGGATAATTAGGCTGCTTAGACTATGGCAGTGTGGTTAACTAACTGAGAAAGGACAGCCACCAGGAGGGGTAAAGGAATATTTTGCAGCTCCTAGTTTTGTAGGAGTGAACAAAGCTACCGGTGTATCGGGGTAACCTGCAGAAATCTGAGCTGGAGCCACCCTTCTGGAGAAGACTGAAAGTTCAAGATGCGGAATTGCAAAAACTGGACAAACTCTGAGAAAGCCTTTTCTAAATATAAACTGTGGAAGGAATGGGATGCTTGTCATAGACCAGGTTTTTTAGCCACAGCAGACAATCATCATAAATAACTTAATATTTTAATGTAATGAAGATGACGTATATGTGTGTGTGTGCATGTGTGTGTATATAATTTTATTCATGGAGAAAAAGACTCAGAGAGACTAAGCATATCAGGAAAAGGTAAAACTATAAGACGAAGAATGGAGCAGTGATTGCCAAGGTCCGGGGTGAGGAGGTGTTTGACTACAAAAGGGCAGCTTCAGGATGCAACTGCTGCATCCTAATTATAGTGGTGGTTACATGTGCTAAAAACATAGAACTGTAGGCCAAAAAAAGTTACATATTATATGTAAATTAAAAACAAATCACATGGATAGTGAATGACAGAACAAAGACTAGAACTTAGGTTTTGTGACTCTTTTTACGCATTTGTTTTCGATCTTTTTGCCTTATGGTCATCACTGATCTCTGTCTATCCTGTCCCAGAGAAAGAATGTCCTTTTATTAAAACAGCAACTCAAAGTACTACATTAGAAAAAGGTAGGGAGGGGGAGAAGAAAAAAAAGAAGAGTGTCCTCTTTTCCAGCCATCAAAATGCATTCACCTTTTTTTTTTTTTTTTTTTTTTGGAGACGGAGTCTCGCTCTGTTGCCCAGGCTGGAGTGCAGTGG